CCAGAGTCCGTGTCTTCGGAACTTCATACTGACTACATCCTTCCTGATTTCCTGAAGAAAATTAATTAAAGACCTACCAAAGTATGGAAAGTAAAGAATTCAATATGGGGGGGTGGGGGTGGAAGTTCATTGTAGCGTTAACCACGTTCTCCACACATCTTCTGGCCAGATTATTTGGTCTTTTCAGCGGAGCCGTTACAGTCTCCTGCTTGAGGGTGCCCAGTGCTTGGCAGGGCCAGAGCTTACTGGAGATCTGTGCAGACAGACGCTTCCACTCCCTGCTGTCCCATTCACTAGCTGTGCCAGCCCAGGCAAGTCACTGCCTTGTTCCCTCTTTAAAAAACTAAAAATGTTAGAGTTTTAAGTTTTTCAGTTGTCATAAAAAGGAAGTGCCTCCACCTGGGTAAGGAGATGAGGACAGTGTCTGGGATGTAGGTGATTGTTAACATTTCAGGTAAGCCTGAGAGCAATGCAAAACTAGATGAGTGTGATGGACTGAGGAGGAAGCAGTTTTAGGACTTTGATAGGACGTTTTCCAATGTCTTATTCTAAGAATTATTTTCCATAACTCATTTGTCTACCAAATCAAATGTAACCGGAATGATTTAATGGCTGATGGAGTTACATACTGCTGCAAACATAATTTAGTGGCTTAAAACTTTCTGTCTCCTGGTTTCATGTGTCAGAACTCTGGGCCAGCTCATGTGGGTGTCGGAAAGTTGCTTCCGGTACTGACAGAGTCCTCGTGGTGGCTGTTCTGGGCTATAGTCCTCCAGTCGCCCTCCAATTATTGGCAGTCTTCACTTTCTGATGATAGGGCTTACAGGACCTGGCTCTTGCCAGTTGTTGGCTGAAAGTGACTTCAGATTCTAGGAGCCACTGCTCCTAGATTCCACGTTAACTTGCACATGGGCCTCCCAACATGGCCTATTATTTTTTCAGAGTGAGCATAACAGTGTCTAGAACAAGTCAGCTATTAAGAATGGACTCTTACACAGTGAAATAAAATCACAGGGTCACATCCCACTGTGTTTGCCTGTGGTCAGAGATAATGATCTGAGGTAATAGGAGGACTTGACTAGGGTGTGAAAATCAGGAGGCAGGGGTCGTGCAGACCACTGTTGAGGCTGGCCTTCTGCAGTGGCCAGGCCTGAACTGCCCAGATGAGAGTCTACTTACTCTCTTTACAAATCCCACCTGCTGCTGGAATATTGATTTATTTGATACAAGGCTTCTGTAGACCTTCCTTGGGGTGGGCCTATCATTGGAGTGTACCTCTTGTTCTATCTCTGTGATGTTAAAAGCATTCTGAATTTTAATGTTTGGCCTTAGGGTTATAGATGAGTGACATGGACCTGTATGCTGTTCTTGTTCTCCCCAAGTTAATATCAACAGCCACTATCATCAAAAGTATCTCTGAATTTGATCCTATAAGAATGCAAGAAAGGAAAAATCAGAGCATTATGATAGTCATGGCCAGAAACCAGAGTTGACTTGTCTACTCTTATCTTTTATATAAGGCATTTTAATAAGGTTCAGTTTGATCTGTTCTTTAAATGGGGTCATCTCTTAACTAATTCTCCTTTTCCAATTCTTAACATGAAAACATTTATTAATACAAATGAATGGTGATCAGTTACACAGTGTAGAGAGATGAAGAGAAAATTCAAAGTTTCTCCATGCCTCTTCCAGACCTACTTCTTCAGGTAACAAGACACTTGACTTCGTGTTTATACAAACATTGAATTATAGAATATCTCTTCATATTTCAGTCCCTGGGTTTATCCTAATTATATGTAACCTCAGCCTTGCTGACAGGGCTTCAGGCTTTCCAGCACAGGGGGTGACAACATTGCTGCAGTGACTTTCTAGTCCACAAAAACCTTGTGTCCTGCACCTTTCAATTCTGTCAGGCATGCAACGAAGGCTCCGGTTTCTGGATAGTGTATCTTTTTTTGTATCTTTTTTTTTTTCCTAATGATCTCCCCATCTATGCACGTAAGGCCAGAGGTTCTGGGGGTGAGAGGATTCATGAGAGACAGAGTGGGGAACAGAACAGGCAGATCTACTGAAGCACACTGCTGAAAGGAGTCAGTGGGTGGGTCAGGAGAAGCCCACCTCACCACGTGAGTCACCTCCCAGGCCAGGGGTCAAACTCTTGTCGCAGTGGCTACGGATAGCTTCACAATGCTGCACTCTAAGCCCTTGCACCACCAGGGAGGTTCCTGACTGGTGGTATCTTGATGCTTGTTATCAATTACTGTGTTCACCCAGTGGAGCAACAGCCACTGCCACCTGCAAGGTGCCATTCACCTAACTGAGCGCTCTCTCTATGACTAATGAGAAGAGCTTTGCATATGTTACCTGATTTATTCACATTCATCCCTGTGAAAGCTTTTTTACCTTATAGACGAGGAAACTAAAGCACAGGAAGAAATGAGTGTTATAAGTTCCTGCAGTGGAGCACTGGGAACTAGATAGCTCTAGGATTCCTTTTTATGCTGCAGTATGATAATAAATCAATATGATGTTTTCTAAATTGAAGACAAAGTCACTTGTTATTTCCTTGTTTTTTTTATTTTTTAGATTTTTTAAAAAGATTTTATTTATTTATGCATACAAGAACTGGGGTACAGGCCAGAGGTGCTGGGGGGTGAAAGGATTCACCAGAGACAGAGTTGGGAGCACAACAGGCAGATCTACTGAAACACACTGCCACAGGGTACAGTAGACAAGACATGGGTCAGCTCCCCGACCAGGGATTCAACTCACTTTGCAGTGGCTGGTGATAGCTTGATAGTGCTGAGACTTTGCCACCAGGGAGGACTTTGGTGGTGGTTGTTATTTTTAATGTTATTGCACAAAATACTGCTGTGAGCATTTCTGGTTCGTACTTGTTTCCTTGGGTGGTTTCCTGGGCAGAGTGCCTTATGTGGAAGTATGCATGCTTTGATTTCACTCGATATGCAGATCTTAGAATTGTATGAATGTTAGCAACCTGCAGTGGGTGACTCCCCACTGTAGCACAGCCTCGTGTGGCTTTGTGAACAACTTATCACTATTGACAGTCTGATGGATTTAATATCATACCAGATTATGGACTTAATTTTATATCTCTAATTTCATTAGTGAGGGTAGCTTCTTTTGCAAGTACTTTAGCCTTTTGCCTTCTGTGATTTATGCTGATTTGAATTTTTCTATTAGGTTCCTTTTCTCATTGATTTATGGTATATTGTTAGAGCTAGTATTTTTCCGGTAGCATTTTTTTTTTTTTTTTTTTTTGTCATTTGTCTTTTTTTCTCCTTCCATTGTCATTTGGTAGTATTAGAGTAGAAGGGTTTTCCTGAAGGTCAAAGTCAGTAATGGCATTGATTTAATCAAGGAGTTAGCTGCCTTAGTTTGTGAGATCATATGATTTCTTCTCCCTAATCTGATAATATGGTGATTATGGAAATTTGCTTTCTAAGTTGACACACAGCTGCAGTTTCAGAAGACAGATGCTGCATAGTTTGGAGAGCCTGCTTACACATCAGACCTCAGCTACAAGGAGTCAAATATTTTGTGGTAATAGGTCCTCTACGGGCCACTTCCTTCTCATTCCTTTAACAATCTCTTCCACCTCTGATGGCAGCAGTGTTTGTGCCTCACCTTGACTTCCGGGCTGGGCTTGAATTGCTGGTGAAACGACCCATTTTTTTCTTTGATACTTGTCCCTATATGGTTATCTGTGTGTGGATTTGAAGCCTGTGATCCCTTCTCATGGCCTGCACATGTTTTCTCTTTTGGATGAGTTTTATAGGAAGTAATTTTTATCTAAAGTTAATTCATTTTGTCAAGTATTCAATTTTATTAGTAGTATAAAGAATGTATACCAAATACGCATGTATATAAATACACATGGTATACATATATTTCTTGTGTATATCATATTTAGTTTTTCTGTACAGTATAGTACTGTGTCTGCATGTTTATATTTATATACCAGTACTGATGAAAGTATTTTTATATGTGCATGTTATATATTTTTATATGTGCATATATATTTTTGTATAAATATCAGATCAGATGTGTTAACAGATTAGATTATGTCTGTACACACTATCAAATTAATGGACAGAAATTACACATATGTACACGTAGAAAATATATATGTAATACGTCTAATATTAGATATCACTGTATGTACATGGTATTTAAATTATGTTCCAAATACCAGATATTTATAAAATGAAATGACTTATATATCATATTGGCTTTTTATGTTTGTTGCAAAATAGTTAATATGTATCATCTACTGTGTAGATGATATATATGTAATACAAAGCCAATATATGTGTATGTGTATATTTATATATACACACACATTATGTTCTAGTTAGGATTTTTGTATATATATCAGTAAGTTTTCTTTAGAAAGAAAACCAAACATTTGGCTTGACATTGCTATGTTCTAACGCACACACATAAAGACAATTATCCTGAAAAGTCTTCCTTGAAAAGTTTTGTTGTATAATTTTTTTATAGGTGCTTTTGTTATTGATTAGGTCTCTATATCTTCATAGTATGGTATAGAATTTCTGTTTCCTAACATTTAGAATATTTAAGTATACACACACATGCACACACATGCATGTGTATATTTGGATCTTTAAATATTGATTTGTAATCCAGTTTTATTGTGTTCCTAATCCATGAGGCAAGCTCTTGGTTCTCTGCTTTCTTCTAGTACTTCCTACTGACTGAAGCAGCAAACAGAAGCTAAGGAAGAGAGCCTGGTCTCTGTGTCCATAGGGGTCAGCAGAAAGTGGACAAAAAGTAGGACCTGACCTGGGAGGGTAAAAAAAGAGCCGTAGAAATGTTTCTGCAACTTGATTTTCCTTATTGCCACAGTCCCACTAATAAGTGTTTATTCTAGTAATACAGTGGATGGGTAATTCCTTTGATAAAACACCCTCATCACTTTACTGAAATATTACCCTGCAGGTCAGTCACCTATCAGCTTGGCTTCTGTTTCACTCAGCTCTAGTTATTAGGTGTGTTATGTTGGTGTTAAGGTTATTTCACTATGCTGATCCCTAGGGAACATTGTCTAAAACAAGACAAAACAGTTGACACTTACAGCCATGGGGTGGGGCTGGCGTGTGTCCTGAGACCTGGGGAAGTCCTGGGACTTCAGTAACAAGCTGTGACGTTAGCATGTTAATTTCCTTTCTGATTCCTGGTGTGGGGCTTCTTAGTGAAGATGGGAAGGGCTTGTCTGCTGTTACTGCCATAATTACAAGTGGGCCTACCTTGGAGAGCCAGGGCTTTGGGGATGACAGTGTCTCTGTCCATTCTTGTCCTTGATGAAGATGGTACTAGTGATGAAGATGATGATACAATTCTTATTTTTTGCCACAGTGGTCACTGATTGTATGAAGAATTTTACCAAGCACTAAGCATATATCAGCTCATTCAGTGTCTTCCCCACCATTCTTGTGATACATATGATCTCGCTTATATTGAAGTGAGTTTCCGAGAATGACTCTCACAGCTAATAGGAAACAAGCTTGCATTTGCGCACAGGCTGGCTTTATTTAAGGTAAACAATTGGCAGTATGAAAACATGTCCCTCTTGGTTTTTGTTTGATTTTTTAGTTGGCGTGACTCTGAATCCAGGACAGCTCATAATGATCTACTACTGTCTGAGGATGGGAGAAAAGTGACCCATGGAGGCAATCAGAAGAAGCGTCACAATTCAAGATTTCTTGCCTTACCCTCTATGGTAGGCTGTGAGGCCTTCACCTCAGGAAGACATTACTTTGAAGTGGATGTGGGGCAAGGAACTGGGGGGACTTAGGAGTTTGTCTGGAAGATGTGTCCAGGGACAGGTTGGTGAAGCTGAAGCCCTTTTATGGATTCTGGGTGATTGGGTGGAGGAAAGAACATCGCTTCTCTGCCAAGCGAAGTAGTTATGCAGTTATCACCAAGTAGAATTCTGTCTGCAGGAACAGCCCCAGATTGTAGCAGTTTTTCTGGACTATGAGGCTAGACTTGTCTCCTTTTACAATGTGCAGACTGGCTCCCACTTATACACCTTCCCCCAGACCACCTTTTCCAAAACTTTTCAACCCTTTTTCTGGGTTGATTGTTGTTCTTCTTTACACCTGCCTCCTCCAGAAGAGTAAAGAAATGAGTAAAGCCTCTTTGAGGGAACCATCATCATAGAGAATACAGTGAAAATACTGTGAGTGCCACGGGTTGGCCTATTTTCTTCACTTCTGTTTCCTTTTATCTAGAACAGCGCCGAGCACTCTGTGAGTATGCAGTAAGTCTGCATTGAAGAAGTGAATGTAAAAATTCAAAATGCTCTAGGTGGTCAGCCTTAGCTGGGGAAAAAGCAAGATGATAGCAATGATCATTGTAGCGTCAGTGAATAAAAAGCAGAATTTTTTCTACCCTTCCTGTGCCCAGAGTAGATGCCCAAGTCCCAGAGGTGTGCACAGGGCACAAACACCTATAATTGTGGCTGTCTGGGTCCGCAGTGCGGGGCTGAATGTATGCTTGGAAGCCAGGAAGGTAAGGGCAGCGCCGCTAACACGACCATAATACAGAGGCCAGCTCAGGCAAGGCCAAAAGAGACAAGACGGACACTGCTCTAGAAAGCGGCCAGAGAAAAAGCACTCAGATTTGCCATGGGCGGCAGGCTTGCCCCCAGCCTCCCTGCCCCCCACGCCTGCCTTTCTACCCTGTGCGCTGGTGTACCTGGTTCCATGAGAGAGCATTAAAGGCCTGTAGAATCTGCTGAGGGCTCCAGGACCCTAATCATCTGCGCAAATCTATAGTGAACCTGCCCTGTGCCTGCTTGCACTAGAATCTTCTGTCCTCCTCTCCCTCTCTCTTGAGGGGGCTCAGAGATCTGATTTCTGGGAGTCCTTCTCTGAGCCGCGGGGTGGTCAGGAGGGGCTTGTCTGTTGTATTCTCCGTCATTCCCAGTTGCCCTTCCTGGAGAGCCAGGGCTTTGGGGAGGACAGTGTCTGCGTCCACTTGGGTAGTTCTGGCCCTTGGCTTCTCAGAGGTGGAAATGAAGATGATGATATGCTGTTTCTTACCACACTGATCACTTCATATACCACAAACTTCACCCAGCACTGAGCGCACATTAGCTCATTCTGTATCTCCCCCACCATGCTTTTTGTCACCGACGGTCTCTCTGGGGCTCTCAGTTGCTCCCAGTGTCTTCGATACCCTGTACAGTCACGTGTGGATGTGAGGTAGTCTGTCCACTGCATGCAAGAGCAGGAACATCAAGGGAGCAGTCAGTCTTCTCACCACACACATGTTAATGTTAATCTGACCTGTAAAAAGATGGAAGATTTACGTGATCTGAAGAGAGACCAGAGTGTGACATTGGCCTGTAGTCTGGATGGCATCACTAGCGGGACGGCTACCAGACCAGTGAGTCCTGTGGGCAATAATCCAGAAAAGAGAAAGTTTACGATGATTACAGTGAGAGGCTTCAAATGAGAATTGGTATGAAGAATAAAATTGAATTTTTGTGGGAGTCTCACTGGAAAGTAAGTTGATAGGGTCCAGATTGCTAGTGCCAGTTACTTTAAAATATTTTAAGATTAAAACTGGCAGGATTCAGGGCTCTCCCTGGTGGCACAACGGGTTAAAGTTACACATGATGAAGCTCTCCGTAGCCACTGCTGCTCAAGTTCCATTGCCTGCCAGGGAGCTAACCCACATGGTGTGGCAGACCTGCCTACTGCTCCCCTCAACAGTGCATTTCAATGTATCTGCATCTGCCTGTTCTGCTCCCCGCTCTGTCTCTAATGATTCCTCTCCCCTACCACACCTCTGGCCTGTACCCCAGTTCTGTAAGCATAAATACATCAATTTTAAAAAATTGGCAGGATTCAGATATAATCCATAATCCTTCACTACACAGCTACAGTCTTTGTCACACCTGAATTATCCAGCCTGAGTTGATGAATGAAAGGACTTGAAAAGGTGTTTTCAACCTGATTTCAAACAATATTTTGATGACCAAAAATGTCACTAGATAATGAGTTCATGTAAAAGTCAGTGTCTTTTGATAATGAAGTCTCCTGACTCATGTCCCCAGGAAGAGGGGTGATGAAGTAGAGATACCAGCTGCAATCACCCAAGAAAATGGAAGCGATCCTAAGGTCAGCTGCATCCTCAGCAGGAAAAGCTCTCCCAGTTACGCTAATGAGGCTGTGTTGTCATGAGTAATACAGGGTTGCAGAATGGACCCAGTTACAACACTTGGGCAGATGAATCACTGAACTGAAAGGCAACTGAGAAAAGAGTGAAGAAAAGCCGCCGGCTCGTCCCTACTGCCAAAGTGTATACATCTCTCTGCCAGGAAGGACTGAAGTAATCACTAGAGAAATCCAGAAGCTCATCAGCCAGGATACCACACACTCTAGGGCACTGCAGAACAAACCTGTCTGAAAGGAACACTGTCTGCCCTTTCTTTCCCGAGTGTTTGCCTTTCCATGTTTTCCCACTTAGAAAATAATTTTTCGTCGTCAGCTGTAAAACACACACACACCCAAAAAACTATTGTTCTTTAGTTAAGATGCTCTCTCGGCCCATGCTGTGGCCACTTTGTCACTCCCAAGTGGATGCAGGAGACCCCTGATTTTAGGGAAACTTAGCCTCTCCTTAGCTCTCTTACTACCACACCCTGTTCCTGTCTTACACTAGATGTATGTGGTTTTTCCCTGTCAACTCAGGTGCCCTGCACTTGAAATAATAAGTTAGAGCAGACCCCACAGCTAAAGGGCTGTCAGCAAGGCTGTCCCCATCCCAGCCAGCAGTCACATGTGGGGCACCCTGAGCTCCTGCATGCCGGCCATAAACGGATTTCCAGACGCCCTATTTGGTCTAATCATTTACTAGAGCAGCTGACAGAACTCAGGCAAGCACTGCTTCCTGAACTTTCGTAAAGACTGTGATAAAGGACAGAGGAAGTTGTCCTCATGACGCCAGGTTCACCTCCCAGGTGTGGGTGTTTGCACCAAAGCCTCCATATTTGGTTCTTTTACATAGACTTTTTTTTTTTTTAAATATATTCACTTGATTAATTAATTCAGTCTATTGCATCCTCACTTTTGGAGAACAGGGGTGGGGCAAAAAGCTTGAGGTTTCTAATCATGTCTTTGCTTTTGCAGTGACCAGCCCTTATGCTGAATGTACCCAGGAGACCACCACTCACCTCATTAGGATAAAAAAGATGCTGCATCTCCTCAGAGATTTCAGGGATTCAGGATCTGTGTGTCAGGAACATGGTCAGAGACCAATTATTTAAACAAAAGCTGCTTCTAGTGCTCTTATCTCTTTAGAAATTAATGGATTTTTGGAGCTCTGTGCCCGGAACTGGGTAGAAGTCAATGATTAGAATGACCACAAGAAAACACTACCTAGTCAAGTTAAATTTTCCGTTGCATTACTGAGAAGTTGTGTATTGGGTAATACCCCAACTCACAAGTAGAGCTCCCAAGAGCTGTAGAAAATGGAAGGTTTTATAGACAGGGCAGGAGATAAGGAGAGTGGCTTGTTTCAGGGAAGGTGACGCTCTGGAGGGACAAGGGCTCAGGTGGATCGCCTGTTTGGGAAACACAACAGGGTGAGATTGCAATCCTGGAGGGACTGAAACAGATTGGATGTTGGTATTAAGTTTTGGCTTTTTACTTTGGTTTAGTTCTTGTGTGACAGAGGGATACCCACAAGTCCCAAATGGTTAAGGGGTGCACATTCTAAAAGGGGTGAATTTTATGCTCTGCAAAGGCAAAAGAAGTATATTCTTAGGGTGAAAGATATCTACTCAAATTAGTGTACAGAGAGAGAGAAGAGAAGTAAAGATATTCTGGAGTAGTGTCCTGATAAATCCTTCCAAATTACCCATTCCTTTATGATAAATGCCCAGCCCAACAGGGAGGGTCTGAAGTGGGACCACTGAGGTCTGAAATTTTGCCACAAGTTTAAAGCTCTTTCTGGGGGGAACCGTTAGAAAGGGGTTCCCCAGAGAACTGGGGAAGAGGAAATACTAAACAGCATGTAAGATAATGACAGCCTTTCCTGAAGAGCCGAATCTGCTACCCACGTGTGTGTCTTCCAAGTCCGGGGTGCAAGTTGAAGAGTTTCACCCTATTTGGGAGGCCCCTTATGCAAAAGGTGACATATTTGATGATGTCCACTTGTCTCTGAAACTCCATGTCTCTTCATTATTTCTTTTTTCTGATCATCAGACTAGATCATCTCAGTGGACCTGTCTTTAGTTTAATGATACTTTATAGGCTACTCAAATTTGCTTTTCAGTCTTTCTAGTACAATTTTTATGGTATATAGCCATTCCTGTATCTTTTTTTAAAAGATTGATTTATTTATGCATACACGACTTATTTATTTATGTGTACAGGCCAGAGGTGTGGGAAGGTGAAAGGATTTACCAGAGACAGAGTAGGGACCAGAACAGGCAGATCCACTGAAATACACTGCTGAAGGGAGGTGTAAGGGGTGGGGGGGTCAGGAGAGGTCCACCACACCATCTGGGTCACCTCCCTGACTAGGAATTGAACTCGTGCTACAGTGGCTGCAGATAGCTTCATAGTACTGTGTTTTAACCCCTGGAGCCACCAAAGAGGACCCGTTCCTGTATCTTTAATACATATATAGCCCACTAGTAAAATTTCTGTATCATATATTATACTTCAAACTCCAGGTTTTCCTCAGAAGGATTATATCAACGTGCAGGGCGTGTTGGCCCAGGGCCTGGCCCCCGGTTGGTGTTTCACAAATGGCAGGTTGCATTATTACCAGCTGTTCGAGGGCTAGTCAAGGAAAGTTGCCCTGGGTCAGCCTCAGCTCGGCCCCCAGCAGGCTTTACTGTAACAGTCATCTATGGCAGGGAAAAGGTGCAAATATTTGCAAAAAATGCAAAGTCTCGGTGACCATCTACCACTTCGCTGTTTCTATAGGGAAGGGCACCCCACTCTTCTGCCCCTCTCCCATCCAGAACATACAGGCACAGTCACCAGCTTCAGCCCTGTGTCCAGGAATTGCCTCCTATGTAAGTTTCATTACTGATTTAGATCAGAGTTCTCTTCCTGCTTGTGGCTGCACAGAGTAGACAGCGTGAGAGGGATCAACACAGAGTGTGTGACTGCTGAGTGGCACAGTGGTGAAGGAAGCCAGGCTAACGATTGTCAGGGGAGAGCAACTGTCCCCATGTGTGCTATGAGTCAGTGTGTGCAGTGTGTTCATGGGCGTGTGTGGGTGGGGTGGCAGCCGGAAGGCGCTGAGGTCAGGACTTTGCTCCTTGTATCTCCAGCTCTCTCCTGTCTATTCTCTTTCACAGACTCCAGGCGCACCTCAGCAGATCGTACACGAGAGGTAAGTGAAGGCCGGGGACCTGCACCCTGGTGCCAAGAGGGGAGGTTTTTCTTCCTAGGGAAACAGAGCCCTCAGGGAAATGAACCTAATGTGCTTTGAGAGAAATAAGCTGAAGGGAAATATGTCTTTAGATTAATCTCTATGACTGGAGCGCTGTGTCATGATTGGAGGGAAATGGTCTAACCATCCATTGTCATCGAACCCAAGATCTTAATTCAGAGAATTGTCACAAAAAGCAAAGTTCTCTCAGCCCTTCCTGATGACACTCTCTGGCCACATCAACCCAGAAATGGGAAATGGTTCTAGAAGCAGTTCCATGCTGTAGGGAGGGCTGACACTCACTCCTGGTCATGCCCCTCCTGTCTCTGGGTGTCAGATTCTCACTGTGGTGAAAGGAGGTGAATGCCCAGGCCCCAGGAGGCCAGCCCTCTTGACTGCTTCCTGGGTTCTACAAACCCCCTAGGTCCAGTCACCACCACTCTCCTGGGAGACAGGTCGTGGCTTGGGGAAGAGACGGCCTCTGGGATCTCCAGATGCTCAGCTCCAGGTCCGACTGCTCTTCCTGGCTCTTTCCACATCTCTGCCTCTGAAGTCGGGGAGGATGACAGAAGGAATAACTGCTTCCTGTTTTATTGGTGACTTTTACTGTCACCCCAGTAGGGTCTCCACGGAAACTGTTTATCTGGTTTTGTTCCTCTGGGGGTCAGTGTTGAAGTAGGGAGAATTGGGGGTGTGGGATAAATAGTATCAAATGTGATGGGGAGTTTCTCACAGACCCAATTCCTAAGTGTCACTGCCTCATACAAAGAAGTTATTCAGGTACCTAGTATTCCTGATGTTTACTGCTTTGGAAAGTGTTTAACTCTGCCTCACAAAGTTTCTAATACCTTTTGCAACTTTGGTGAGATGTTTGAGTTTCTGTTCTCCCCCTTAGCACCAGGTCTAAGAAAGTTTTCTATAAAGATGTCAAGTAGTTCTATTCACAGGCAGGTAGTCATCCATGAAACACAGCCAGTGGTTATGAAACTGAAATTTTAAATTTAATTTTCTGTTTTAGTGACCATAAATAGCAACCAACTCTGGTCCATTTCCTTTCTAGACAGAAGATTTCAAGACCCGCGGAGGCACAGAGATCCAGGTTCTGTATATTTCCATCACTGGAGAAAGTTCTGTCTGCGCCAACTGCAATATTGGAGTTTTTCAGGAAGTGCCATGGCCACAGCCCCTGCTACCAAGAAGATGATGGAGGAAGCCGCATGCTCCATCTGCCTGCAGATAATGCCGGAGCCCGTGAGCATCAGCTGTGGGCACAGCTTGTGCCATCGGTGCATAACAGGGAAATTTGAGAATCAGCCACAAGGAACATCACAGCTGAGGAGGTCTCACTGTCCCCTGTGTCAGGCACCATTTGAGAAGGGAGACATCCGGCCCAACCAGCAACTGGAAAACTTCACTGAGAGCATCCGAGAGCTGGAGCATGAGAGACTGTGTGAAGAGCACGGGAAGCAGCTGCACCTGTTCTGTGAGGACGACGGGCAGCTCATCTGCTGGCGCTGTGAGCGGTCCCCCCGGCACAGAGGACACAGCACGGCTCTTGTGGAGTACGCAGGCCCACGCTACAGGGTGAGTGAGGGGGCCAGAGGCCTGCAGCAATAATTGTTCTCTTGTTGAGCTCTTAGACCTGAGATTATTTTGCCTGAAATTCTACTTTATTATGTAAAATAAAACACTAATCACATATTTCTTCGTTTATGATGGTCCCCACTGAATAAATTCTAACTGTCCTCCTGACATTCAGAGGATGGTCAGAGTCTTGTCCCTACCCACCCTGCTGTGGATACAGTGTACTCAACCCACACCAGCCTGTTTATCTTTACTTGTGTAATTCAAGAAACAAATGTGTTCAGGGCCACGTGAACAGAATGTGAAAACAGAGACACCCCACCTTGTAGGTATCCTGCAGCCAAAGGGTAAGTAAGTCAGCAAGACAAGAATGCCTGAAGGCCCTTGGATTTGGGTGGTGACTAGGATCCCACCAGTGGGAAGAGAGTCTGGAAGGACATACAACTTATCATTTACAGAAATTTCGAGAAAATAGCCTTGTATATGTTACTATCTTGTTTCTAGGGCCCCATTTCCCTGGTAGTAGTGTGATTTCTGGTCAGCTGACTCCAGGCCATACATGAGCCTGGAATCACAGCATGCATCACAGATAGGTGTGGCTGCTTAACTCCCCACTTAGTTCACAGGAAACATCCCATTCAGAAGGTCCAGGCTTGTGGTAGATTCATAGCATGATGGGAGCTGTAGTCCTTGGTTCCTTGGATGTCTTTGGCATGGAGTGGGATGGCGTCCATAAAGCCAGCAATGGCCCCCAGTGCATGTTATTCAGTCCTTTCCCAAGCCTTGGTTTCTACAGCACAGATGATAGTAAACATTCTCCCAACTTGTTAAGGTTATAATGGGATCAAATTGTTACCGCAGAGACCTTTCTCAGGGTGCTTCTCTGAAAATGTGAGAGTCTTAATATTTAAAGTCTTCTGTATTAATAGGAACAGGATCCCTTGAGGTGCCTGGGAAAGTTTGTCAAACTAACTGTTCCCACTCTGTTTATCTCAGAAAATTCTTCAGAAAGTTCTGACAGAACTGGAGGAGGAGGAAAAGCATTGTCTGTTTATGAAGCTGATCACAAAAGATCAAATAAGGCAATGGGAGGTAAGATTTTGAGATCATTGGTTTCAAGCTCTTTTGCATCCAATGTCATTGAGAAAGTGATGGTTGAGCAAAGTACTTTATAGTTTATTCTCACTGGACCAGACCTAAAAGTTCAAACCTAAGAAGAAACATGCTTCATTACATGGCCCTAGTGTCTATGAGAATTTATCTGTTTTTACCCTTACAATCATGATTGTCCAGGATACCCAAAACCTCAATCTGTAAAAGGAGAATTTTGATATTTCCTACATGTCACCATCCTTGCCTGGATTTCAAGTAGTAAATATTTCAAAGTTTAAATAGTGCAAATGCTAAATCACTTCCAGCTTGGAAGTTTTAACATATCACCTTGGCACAGTTATCACACTGCAGGGTCTGACATTCCACCTTCTAGTTTCCAAAGTCATCCTTGGTGAGCACTGATACAGCGTCAGTCCAGGTGAGATTATGTCACTCAGCTCACGGGCTGGTGATGAGGATGGAGCTGCAGCAAGAGCATACGCAGACCTTGCAGACTGTGGGTCTCTGAGTCTTTTTCTATCGATGATGCAGGGTAGATCCCATGCTTTATGGATACTGATTCAAACCATCACTGTACAGTTGACTGTATGTTCAGTCATTCTGCCTGTGTCAGGGATCTTCCAGCCTTCGCCCTGATCCTTGGTATGTGGATGTTAAGCCTGAACTCTCAAATACACTCATATTTCCTTCATTTCTGGTTTCTTGGGTAGTAGCGAGAAATTTCATTGTTGAAGACTTCTAGGGAAAGCACACCAATGCCAGAGGCCAGCTGTCCTTGCCTCTTACTCCAGAGTTCCACTTCATGCTAATCAGGGATCCTTGATCACAATGTCAGTCATGAAAAATACCGCATCAACTGAGAAAGTTTCACCACTGGAAATTGCAGTTCTGTATCTTCCAATTGAAAATGAGTCCCACAAGAGAGATTATTTGGTTCTTTCATCTTAGATAAAATTGTTAAATGGACACAGGCTTGGTTGATTAAAATTTGTGGTAACTGTGATCAAATTCTTCCACCCAGACCTCTCTTTGTTGACAATCATGGCCACATCTCCTTGTGGTTAATGTCTAGCGTGGTGACCTTCATCTCAAATTTTGCTTCACAAAGTCCCATCAGAGACAGAGAAACCTCATATGTCAAATCTATGAACTGGAATTACTAGTGTTTGCTTCTACTTCCATAATTCATCTAGCAGTCTGTACTGCCTTTTCCTATGTCTTGGTTGAAGAACTGTGACAGCTGCTCCCAGATCTGAGTGCCTGCCTCCTGGCCTCACTCTGTAGCAGGACCTCCACCCCACATGTCTCAATCAAAATATATCACAGTAGCTTCATGTAAATATCTGTGTTCTTTAAACTAAGCATGAAGTCTGCCACTGTAAGCTTCTTGTGTGTTCACTTACTGGTGCTGTCTTCATATTGGGGTACCCCCAGCTCTGCAGAACTGCTTCATCCTTCTGACCTTCAGCTCTCACCCCTACACACTGTCCTTGCTGTCCCTGCCACCTGGCCCCAACCTCCTACTTCCTCTACACTTGACCACGTGCCTATAGAGAACAATCATGAAGTTGTTGTCCTTTTGTTCTGACTTACTTTACCTGCCATCATGCCTTCAGGCTCATCCATGTTGTATCAGTGTCTACGTACGTATTTCTAAGGCAGAACAGTTTTGCATTGTGTTTATGTCCCTCATTTTGTATCGCATTTCATCTCCAAGTGAGTTTTGGTTTGTTTGCACCTTTTGAGCGTATCTTCTCAATACTAGGATAAGATCGCACGTGAGAGAAGGAAAATTCAGTGTGAGTTTGAGAAACTCTACAACTTCCTCCATGAAGAGGAGCAGTGGTTTCTGTGGAGATTGGAAGAAAAAAAAGAGCAGACTCTGAGGAAAATGCAAGAAAATGAGGCCAGTCTGGAAAAGCAGAGGCAAGAATACAAGAGCCGCATCCTGGAACTAGAGGAGAAATGTGAGCAGTCAGCTCAGGATATGCTGCAGGTGTGCCCTGGAGGACAGAGAAGAGGTGTCTGGTCCTGATGGACAGTGGGGGAGAAGCATGGGTGATTGCCAGGGTTTTCTAGTTTCTCTGGAAAGTTGGGAATTATTATAGGGAATTTAAAGTAGTGTTTCTTTTAAAATGCTTCATTATTTGCAGCGTGGCCTCCTGTAATCTATAGGGTGTCTTTATGTGAGTCATGAAATATACTCACTTTGCATACATAGGCTGGATTCCTTGGCCAGTACATTCTATAAGATTCCATGAGCTATCATCTGTCTCTGTCCCATGTTCACAGAACCCACTGCCCAGTGTCTCCTGGAAGACCCCTCCAGTTGCCTTGTGGGTGATAAAGTGGGGCAGCCACATGAGGCGTTCTCCCTGACTGATTTGTAGTCCTTGCTCCAGGAGCTAGTATGAGGCTTTGCTTAGGCTGCATGAAGGCTCCACCCCCTTCATATGCATCTAGAGCTGTTTCTTCTTGCTCCTGCCATAGAACAGGAAGTCACACTATGAGGATGTAACGTAACAGCTCCATCACCAGGTGACACCTGCGTGGCCACCTCGGGCTCTGCTGCTGCTCACCACTGAGGACATAAGTGACCTCTAAAAGGGGCTTCTCCGAAAGTAGGTCCATGAAAGTAAATCTTGAAAGGCAGTATAATAAGCTCCTGGCCCTCTTCCCAAGCAGCCCACAAGCTGAGGTGATGAGAGGCATGGGTCACAGAAGGAAGTGACTAGACTCAGTGGCTGAAGATGTAGGTGCCATATGCTGATACCCTAGAGGACAGACGGTGTCACTCTACCTGGCAGCTACCACTGTCTGTGGCTGGGGCCTCTCTTCTTTGGGAGGAATGATTAGCCACACATCAAGCCCATAAAATATGCTGCTTCACACTCACCTTGTGCCTTTGTTTCCTATAGAATATGAGAGACACCTTGGGCAGGTAAGTGCTGTATGAGGACTGGGGGAGGAGGTAGGGATACACTGATCCTCATGCAATGTCCCCTGAGATGCCTATGTTCTCTGCTGATGCTAGGTGTATGGCCATGAACACGGAAGTCCCAGAGGCTGTGTCACTGGAGCTTCAGACTGTGTGTAATGTGTCTGAGCTTTACTTGGATATGAAGAAAATACTAAAGAGCTACCAAGGTTTGTGAAGTTAACAATTCCTTAAGTGCAATGGAAGAAAGGACCCTTAAGTTCTGAGTTTACTATCTGCTCCTCGAAGGTCATAACCACATCTTATTTCATGGAGCTAACACACTCTGTCCTGTTAAAATGCCCCCGTGATTGGAGAGGGGCACAGGATACGGGTGATCTGAGCAGCCTTCTTAAAATTCTCCCATTTACAAGCTATGTCAAGCCAAGCCAAGCGTAGGTTTTCTCACCTGAAAAGTAAAAATGCTAACAAATTACTTAATTTAATGACTGACTTTAATTTACAAATTCATTACTTAATCACTTAATTGTGCCATCATTAAGATGAAATGCACCAATCTGCATGAAGTATTTGAACAGTGTCTGGTATATAATGTTCATTGTTAATGGTCTCAGTCAAGTCAGAGAACAGTGCAAGAAGGTAGTTGAGGATAATGGACTGTGAGGTTAATAGTTTTAGGGCGTTGGCCCAGAAAACATGGTAAATGTCAATATCATTACGAAAAATCACATTTTACCAATTGTAATCCTGTCTCTTGATTTTCTTAATCAGTGCTTGTTATATTTCCATCACCTGTTAGCCACAATTACAAAATTCAAATGCTTTGACAACTAAATATTTTCCACTTCACTTATCCACCAAATCAGACCTAAATGGAAATGATTTGGTGACTGTTTTACTTATGTACTGCTGCAGAATATTTAGAGGTGTTAAATTAAAAAAAAAAACAAAAACCTTTTATCTCTCACTATCTTGTGTCAGAATTCTGGGCCCAGCCTAGGTGGGGTCACACAGTGCAGTTATGGGCTCAGCTGGTGAATCAGTTGGGGGTTAATCTTCTGATCTTCTGGTTGTTGGCAGAATACATTTCCTTATGGTTACATTTCCTGACTTCTACCAGCTGTTGTCTGGAAGTGTCCTCAGCTTCTGGAAGGCACCGCTCATCAACTTGTACATGGGCCTCCCAACATGGCTGATTATTTCCAAATGAGGTCAGGAGAGAGAGTCTCTAGAGTAAGGCAGCTATTACAATGGAATCATACAATGAAATATAATCAGGGGTCACATCCCATTACTTGTACCAGTGGTCAGAGGTGATTGATCAGAGGCAAATCTTAGGTTACATTGTCATTCACTCTTGACTTCTTTATATGAAGCAATTTATGATTGTTCCTTTGTGTGTGTGCGTGTGTGTATAGACATAGATATAGATATATACATTGGTGTTTTTCTATTCATATTTATATATATATACTTGAATGTTTTACTACTGATTTCTAACCTATTTGTATTGCACCCCCAACCCATTGGGGAAATTTCTCTTTGCCCTACGAACTCCTCTGTGCTTCCCATTGACTGAAGCAAGTAGAAGTCAGAGAAAAGGAAGCCTAGTGGATATGTCCTCAGGGGTCAGCTTTACTGGGATGGCAGAGTGGAGAAAAGTGGGGAGTGCTCTTGAGAGGGAAAAGTGAGGCCCCAGGACAGGAAGTTTGTGCAACTGAATGTCCTTTATTGCCAGAGTCCCGTAACAGTGTTTAACCCAGTAACTAAGTGGATGGTTAACTATGTTACTAGAACTCCTGTTCATTTTTAATACTGCTCAATAGCACACTTAATTTGATCATATGTTTTTCTATTTTACTCGATTCTATCAAGGTACATGGTTTTTATGTAAATTGGTGTCCATTTTATTTTCTTACATTCATTCATTTGATCCACTAGCTGAAACAATACAGACAACTTATACTTTAAAAAAACTGGAGCAGGTTTTCTGAGGTCTGGGGAAAATTCTGGGCCTTTAATACTAAGCTGAAATATTATCTTTGTTACTTTCCTCTCTCTTCTGGGTGTGGATGGTTATTAGTAAGATGGGAAGTACTTTTCTGCTCGAATCTATGATTCCTAGTTGTCCTACATGGAAGTCAAAGGGCTTTGGGGGGATGGGCGGGGACAGTAACTCCAACGTCTGGGTAGTTCTGGTCCTGGCCTCTCCGAGTGATGAGATGGTGATGATGATGCTATTTATTTTTACTATCCATTATTCATCATTTCCCATATACCAGGAATTTCACCAACCCTTCAGCTTGGGTTAGCTCATTCAAATATCGTTCACACCATTATCTGCGACAATTTGACTGCTGTGTTATATCTGGTAAGTAACAAAGGTTGCATTGGAACACAGCCTACTTTATTGAAAACTGAAGACATCAAATATGTGTCGTTTTTGATTTTTGTTTATTTTGCAGTCCGTGTGACTCTGGATCCAGAGACAGCTCATACTGACCTAATTGTCTCTGAGGATCGAAGACAAGTGATCTATGGAGGCCCTGAAATGAACCTTAACAGTTCTTTGAGATTTGAGAACTTGCCCAGCGTCCTAGGCTGTGAGCGCTTCACCTCAGGAAGACATTACTTTGAAGTGGATGTGGGAGAAGATTCTTCATGGGAGTTAGGAGTCTGTCTGGAAAATGTGCACAAAGGTGTTTCCATGAATCTTCAACCTGAGTCTGGATTCTGGGTCATCAGATCATCTGGTAAACAAAGGTATTGGGCCTTTACCTCTCGCGCAACTTTACTTCGTCCGAAGAAACTCCAGGTTTTGGGGGTTTTTGTGGACTTTGAGGCCGGACGTGTGTCCTTCTATAACATGACAACTGCTAGCTCCCACATCTTTACCTTCTCAGGGGCCACCTTCTCTGACACTCTCCGGCCGTTTTTTGGGGTTTTTCAAAGTTCTCCTTTATTCCTCCACACGCCATAATAGTAAAGAAAGGAATTGCTTGCCGTAGCCTTCTTCTTGGATTAACCATCGTAGAGAATATAATAAAAGTTTGATCGGGGAAGAAATTTGATCTTTCCCTCACTTACATTTTCCTGACCTGGAACAGTGCTCAGCTCTTCGTGGATACTAAATAAATCTGCACTGTATGAGTATAATGACTAAGAATACTACAGATAATCATCTTGGTCTGGTGTGAATTCAAGTTAATTGGTATCTTGCCACAGGTATACATTGTTCATCTCTCTTCAGTTGGTCTGAGTTGTGATTCACAAGGGTCCAGGTCTGATAAGTAGGGTGACCAGAAGTCTGACGGGCTGAGTGCTCGTTTCTTTAAAATCATTTGAAGTTACTTGTGACAAAGAGAAGCTGCAGTTGTCTCCACCAACTTCTTAAATGAGCAGGAACTTCGAGTAGCAGTGACTTTTCTAACTGCTGGGGTGTTGATAATCAGTGGAGCTGTCTTCCAGGAGGTCACTGTAAGTACAGATCCTACCAGACACAGTGAATCCAACTGGATGACCACCAGGTAACATGTGAGAGAAGAGTTATGTATTTTACAATGAGAGGCTTCACAGAGGGAAGAGTCTGAGTCTAAAAATGAACTTTGTGGGGCATCAGTCTAGAAATGAACTTGATTTATTCCAGGTGCTAGTGTGCTAGTGCCACCTATTTTGAAATATTTTAAAGTCCCAAAAGTTATTTATCACTGACATGATTTTGAAACCTATTATATAAGACATGATCTGATAGCCCTCAGCGATACATAGATACAGCCTTATTACACTTAAATGATTCGACCTAATGAAATAAAGGCCAGTGCTGTGGTGTCGTCAGCCTATCTCAGACAGCATTAAAGATGATCCAAAAAATGTCACCAAATTGCTAAATGGTATGATAGTAGTTGATATAAAAGTCCATGTGTGTTAATTTTGAAATGTTTGATATCCTTTCACAAGGAAAGGCAATGAGTGAAAGTGTTTTGGGGTATTGAATGGGTCCACCCAAAGGGAGACAGGCTAGAGGGTCTCCACCCCCTACAGCCTCAGCCTCACAGGATTTCCTAGTCATGTTGACAGTGGCTGGATTGGACTTGAAAATACAGTGTTGAAGAAAACAACACACCAAATATGTACTTTTGCATATTGCTAAAGACCAACTTCAGCTGAGCTAGTGAGGGTCTCCTGCAGGAAAGGACGGTGTCGGTGAAGAAAAGAGAGAAAAGGAGAAAAGATGAGATAGAAAAGTGAGGAGACACAGGCACCTGTTTAGGGTGAAAGCATCTTCGGCCGATTGTCCCAGCAGGGCTTTATCTATACATTACAAGCAAGCGGTGGAATTACATCAGTGTGTATGTAAAGCAGAAAGCTTAACAATCATCACATTTTTCTTAAATATAGCTTGGGACTTTTTGATCTCTTATTGATACACAAAATGTTCTATAGTGACTGGTCATTAATAAAATATTCCTATAGTGATCAGTTGACACAAGCTATGTGACGTCTATCGTCCAACAGATTCCGGGTAGATGGGGAAAAGCTCTGAAAAATCAGACTTTCCACTGCTAACTTGTGTTATGACCTCCCTTTTTTGTATAATCATAATATCAAAATATTCTGAGCAACTTTCAGCTTACAATTGGCTTGCCTCAGCCACATAAGGCCTGCCTGGCCCTGACAAGCAAGCCCTGCACCAGGGTGAGAAATTCCTCTAAAGTCAAAAGTGACTTGACAACTGGCTGATCAATAAAAGCAAAAGGGCTGTTTCTGCAAAGTCTCTCTCACTGCCGGATGGAAGAAACCCAAATCTCATCACTCTACTATCTCACCTAGCCTTCTATTCAGCTTCTACAGAATTAGTCAAACTTCCTACTGTCTGGCCTTTAGATGTGAAAATTCATTCAGGTTGCCTGTATTAAAACTAGCCAGGTCTTTTACCTGCTACATTTCAAAGCAATCCACAAAAGTCTTCTGGCTAGTCTTTTAGGATTCTACTATCTAGTCTTTAGATAAGGAAATTCACCTATGTCTCCTGTTCTGAGCAAATTATGCCTTCTGCTGTCTAGACCTCAAGGAAACTCACTTAAAACCTTTTAGCAAGTTTCTTCAAAGAACTTTCCCGAAATTTGATTTGCAAGAAATTTCCTCTTCCTGCCTCCCAGGATGTCTCAGGTAGAAAAAAACCCCATTAAGTAGTAGATAAGGTTTAAAGGATTTTATTTTAATTAATCTTCACTATAGTAATATTAGTCTTAAACTTTGTACACCTATACACCTGCTTTTTAACCTTGATTGATTTTAAAATGTTATAATCTCAAGTAAAGGTCAAAACGACCCCAGACTATTCTTAGAAAAAAGGTGATCTCAGCCCCCTCCGTATGTAATGTCATCCCCCTGCCTGCTTGAAATGCATAAAATAAACCTCTGCTGAAGGCAGAGCAGGAAGATTTGCACCCAACTCCGACTCCCCCGTGTCTTCTTCGCCTGCTCCTCTCCACCCTCTTGGAATCTCCCCATGCCAACGCCTTCCCATCTTAGGGTCCTGCCTGTGTTGCCTCCAGACACCTCAAAAGTTGGAGCTGGTCTCCATCAGTCATCAAACAAAATATTCCTATAGTGGTCAGTTATTAAATGAAATATTCCTGTGGTGGTCAGTTAACAATATACAAAATGTTTCTGTGGTGATCAGTTAGCTACTACAACATAAGCGATCATTTTGTTAATATCTCAATGAACATACATCTTAAAGGTACAGGATCTAATGTTATGGGACTAGGAGTCAGAAAACACCAACGCGGAGTACACTGACATTTCCCTGCCCCTAAGGAAAAAATCCGTTTTTTGATTTACAAAAGGAGCTTCTATTAATCACTATTTCTGTAATTGTTTTGTCAACCTAGTCTCTATATCTAACATAAGAATTAGGGGAAAGTTTCTTTATATGGCCACTATTATCCCATTAATCTTACCTAAAAAAACCTTTCTATGTGAAAAGAGGTTGGGATGAAAATTAAAGGAAAGAGCAGGAAAACTTATTATTATTTATAATTCTATTCCTTAAAATGAAACTATGTTACTTAAAACTATAGGTCTTTTATTGGGGACTGGGCAGGAAATTATTACAGCATTTGGTTCCCAGAATTCTTGGAACATGACATGTCTCTCGCTATTGTGGGACCTAGATTTGTGCCAGCGCCTCAAGCAGGGAACTACTAATTATTTTACAACACACTGTGCCATTCTGTGTACAATGCTGTTGTTATTCAGCCAATCAATCCAATCAAGTAATTAACGATTTCATATTGAATGTATATTTGGACTTCTTGGGAACAGCCAAAAACAAAGCATACTTCTTGGAAACGGCCATAAACAAAGGACCCAGCAGGAACCAGCTTTTCAGGATGTTTCCCCCTACATCACGATCTTGTCATACAACGTGGGTAGCCTGGCTTTTGCCAGCAGATGCACCATATTGAGCTGAAGGCCAATGAGAAAACTGAGGGAGAGAAAAGCTCTCTGCTCTCCACTCTGCTCTCCACCTATTACAAGTCTGTGGCCATCAATTTATATAATGTGTCTCATCTCCTTTCTGCCAGGAAGGACAGAAATTATCACCACATTAATGCTAGAACTTTATCAGCCCAGAGACCACAATGTGGTCATTATAAATGTGGCTGAAACCAGCCCTGTCTATGCTTCCATTCCAGTATTTGCCTTCCCACTGCCACTTAGAAAAGTGTTTTCTTTGTCATGTCATTTTTAACAAAAAACATTATTTAGTTAAGATTCTCTCACAGCACATGCTGTAACCACCCTATGTAGTTGCTTACTCTGAGAGCCCCATGTGGATGCATGGGGGAAGCTGTATTTAGGAAAATCTGTCCCACGTTTGCTCTCTCACCACCATACACACTTTGTGTCTGGCCTAGTTTTTGAAGAATTTTTTTCCCCATCAAACTGGGTATCTTGCAGTTCATTTCAGCTGACATAACTACACTTAGAGCAGACCCCACAGGATACATGCTCAGCCCCAAGACTGCTCCTTCTCCCAAACCAGTCACGTGTGGTTCATCTGCGCTTCTGGCCATTAATTTCTGGGCCATAAATCTGAGGTTCCCAGACTCCTTCTTTGGGACTGGTCATTTGTCAGAATAGCTCAGAGAACTCAGGGAAACACTTTTGTTCTCCTGGATTATTCTAGAAAAAAAGGATGTGACAAAGCCTAGGAGTGAACACCTTAATAAAAGGGGCTCTATGGTGTTCCCTCTTAGAGGTTCTGACCCCATGAAATGGGGTATACCACCCTCCTGCTATATGGATGCATTCACCAATCAATACTCTTTTATGTAGTTTTGTTTAGCATGTTCTCAGGGGTACCCAGGTATTCCAGACTATTAAGGGGTGCACACTCTGGAAGGGATTCAGCCATCAATAGTCCTTTAAGTAGGTTTGTTTAGCATGTTCTCAGGGGTACCCAGGTATTCCAGACTATTAAGGGGTGCACACTCTGGAAGGGATTCAGCCATCAATAGTCCTTTATGTAGGTTTGTTTAGCATGTTCTGAGGGGTACCCAGGTATTCCAGACTATTAAGGAGTGCACACTCTGGAAGGGGTTCAGCCATCTGCATGCACAAAGGCAAAGGAGGCAGACTCTTATTGTGAGAGACTTTAATAGAGTTGATGTGCATAGACACAGGGAGACAGGATAGTCCTAATAATCGTTTCCCATTAACCTCCAAATGGGAAATGAACAAACAGGGTTGACATAAAACTGGGCATTGAGGCCTGAAATCTTGTCACAACTGAAGGTACATTCTGGTGTGGAACCACAAAAAGGAACTAGTCACGTCTCAGAATTCTGGGGCCAAAGGAGAGATCCAGAATTCAAAATGTACCAAAAAATGCACTGTGATGTCAGGATAATGGTCGGTATTGTCTCTGCCAAGGTCCATGGACAACCTCCCCATGTGTATTGTACCCACATGTTTCTTGCAAATATCTCTTTTATGAGTCTCTACATGTCTCCCCTCCTCCTGTCCCCATGTCTCTGGGTGCAAGCTGAAGCCAGGAAAACAAAAAAGCCTGAGCCCCAGTATGTTCAGTTATAAACCTCAAATCCTCCCTTCAGGGAGTCTGATTCATGCAGATTTAATCCTGAATTTCCTATGACAGGACACTGATCCAGTGTGTCTGATTCTAGGAATCAGGTGTCCCTTTGTTACCCCAGTCCACAGCAGGAGCTGCAGGCTGCAGACAGCTCCTTCCCGCTGACCTGTCCTTCCCCTTTGTTTCTGCCTCCCAGACTTCAACTCTCTGAGGATAATGGGAATGTGTGGGGTTGGTTGATTTTACATTTGCTGCCACTCCCAAGCACCTGTTTTAGAGAGATGGACATGCCAGGTTTGATGAAGATACTAGATGGAGATAAAAACGAGTCTTAACACTGATTGAAAAAGATACCTGCACCCCCATGTTTATTGCTGCTTTATTTACAATTGGAATAACACAGAAGCAGCCCAAATGCCCAAAAGTAGATGACTGGATTAAAAAGATGTGGTCCATATACACAATGGAATATTCCTCAGCAACCAAAAAAGAGAAACACATGTCTTTTGCAGCAACTTGGATGGAGCTGGAAAAGATCATACTTAGTGAGACAAGCCAGAAAGAGAAAGAAAAATACCGGATAGTTTCACTCATAGCAGGAGTATAATGGACCAGACGAGAAAATAACAAAAATAATGAACAACCATATATCAGAGACATTTTGCGGGGATGGAGTGGAGAATGGGATCAAAAACGGGGGGTGGGGGTGGGGGAGGGAAATGCACGGGATTATGGTGATGGCACAAGGGTGACTTGTGACTTGGTGATGGGAAACCCGGGGGGGATTACAATTGAAATGGAAAAAAAAATGTACAAAAAAAAATGATGTAAAAAATGAGTCTTGCCACCTTCCAGTGCAGAGCCTGATATATCCAACTTCTGATTTTCTTTTAAAATGGACAAGTGACACCTTCCATCTAGGCCTCAGTTTCCCCAAGTGTAATTCTGAACTCTACTCCCAGGTTGCTGTGAAAAGTGCTCAGGCACAAAGCCCAAGGCATATGAAACAGGACATGAGATTTTGTTTTTGCTTAACTTATATAAAGATTGCAATGTACTTTCAGAGATATGACCCGCTAGAGAGGAATTTTGGGCACCATCATTTCATTTTGTGGGACACTGGGTAATTTATTCTCTTCTTTAGGCCTCCATTTATCCAGAAAAGCATGAACCCTATTTCCGAAATGACAAATTAGTGGTCATCCCTTGCAACTCATTCTGGTCACTGGGAAAGCTTTTAAATAACATGTTGAGGCTCACGCTGCCCCAGACATATTCAGACATATTAAAAGGGATGGAGATGGGGGGTACGCAGGCTGAGGAGGACGCCTGGAGGTGGTTCTGCAGTGACCTATTCTGCAGGGGCCTATTTATCACGAGGGGTGATCAGGGGTCATTTCTTTCTCCTTACC